GATTTCCCATTTCAACGTTTCCAAGTATGTCTTGACTACTTTCTTTTCTTGACCCCACTGGGGTCGAGCATTGTCATGCTGCAAAATCACTTTATCGTGTCTCTCGTTGAATTACGGCCGTTTGTCTTTCAATGTTCAAACGCATCAATTGCGTTCGATATCGATCGCCTGTGATTGTTTCAGACGGTTTTAACAGTTCATAATACACTACGCCGAGTTAGTCCCACCAAATACAGAGCATGACCTTGGACGTCAAAATCACCGTTCTTGAAGCGTTGAAACCACTCACGACACGTTCTTTCACTAATAGCGGCCTCACCATAAGTATTTGAGAGCATTCGATGAGCCTCAGCCGCAGATTTCTTCATATTGAAGCAAACAATTAAAACCTCCCGCAAATGACGAGAATTTGGCTCGTAAACTGATATTTTCAATCGAGAATAACTTTATGATGTAGACATAAATCGACTAATGTTTCTATGGGATTATATTGACAGATGCCCAAGTTTATTGACGTCTATGATCTATTTATTTCGACCAACATTTACCGCTAAAGTCATCTATAGAAAAACGGCGGAAGCAACGTTGTACACCTAATATATTAATTACTTTACACAATTTAATATTACTACAAATAGTAAAAATTTTTATTTTTAAAAGATTTCTATATATTCTAATTTTATTATTCTATTTTTTAGAATTTTTTAGAATTTTCGGACAAAATGAGACAGAAAAGTCAATGATACAGATTTATATAAATTACCTCCTCAACGCAGATGATTTAGTTAATACTACTAATGCTAAAAATGTTGAAAATGATATTTCTTACAAGACAGTAGAGAGCATTTTCTAAAAGTCAAGCAATATTTAATAAACAAAATTAGTTATCTTATGCTGCAGATCTCGTTTTAAAAACTCTTGAAAAATATTTAAATGTTCCTAAATGCCACAAGGTAAGTAAGGTGTTAAATATTGTGAAATTATTGTATATTTATTTGGTAACTATTTTTATTAAAGTCTTATGCATTAACCTAAAACTCTATAAGACTCTATAAGCAATAAAAATTGTATTTATTTTTCAAAATAAACACAGCTTTTATTAAAAAGATTTACTATTTAAATTATTTATATAAAAATTATTTAATATTTTATTTAAATTAATGTTTTTAATTGTCAATTATTTGGCATAATCTTTATATTTTGTAATTTTAATTTAGATAGAATTCATTTTTTGATGTTAATTTGAGTTATCTAATATTGAAAAAGTGAATAATATTGTTAGCTCCTTAAAACTTCCTACTTTTACTTCCACTGAAATCGAATTTCTTAAAGAATACTGTTCGGTAAAAATTTCTTATAATATGAAATAAATATTTCTTTTTTTTATGTTTCTTTAAATTATTTATTAAAAACCGATTGATTTTTGTGATACACATATTTTTTAACTGAAAAATTAGATTATGGAGCCTGTTACAAAAGGACTAGATATTTTTCAAAGTGACAAATACATTTACATTATTTATTAGCAACTACTTTAACATTAGAAGAACATTTGAAAAATAAATTAGGCTACGCAAATTACACAAAATCTTTAATAAATATTCTTATAACAAGTATCCAGAAAAGGTAATTGTGAAAATTTATTAATTTTTAAAAATATTTCTATTTAATAAATTTTGTTCGTCATTTCACATTTACTTTTTTTTTACTTTTATAGGTACTACTTTTTAAATTAATTTTTTTATTATCTAATATTATTACCAGCGGTTTTTCTATTTCATTTTT